TTATTTACATGTAGGTAAGTATTATTTAGTGGATGTCGGCTTCACGAACATGCTTGGATTTCTTGCCCCATTTCGTTCCCAACGCTATCACTTGCAAGAGTTTCATAGCCGTCATTATTCTAGACCCAAGGAATTGTTTAACCATCGACATTCGTCGTTACGCAACGTCATAGAACGAACATTTAGTGTTCTGAAGAAGCGCTTTCCAATATTGCGGTCCATGCCAAATTACAAGTCCACAAGACAAGGACCCCTCGTGATTGCATGTTGTGTAGTGCACAATTGGATCCGTTTGCATGCAGCTATGGACCCATTCTTCATGGAAACCGATAATGAAATGGTGGCTGAAGCGGCAGTAGACAGGTTTGTTGGAGGCCAAGCTGACTATGTTGACATGTCACAACATGGGTTGACGTACCAATCAAACTTTAGGGATGTAATTGCTACTACTATGTGGAAAAATCATGTTGGCCATAGGTAGATTTGTGATGCGAAGAAATAATGTGAATTTCGTAGTATTGTATGTGTTATTACATTTGATTTTTTTTTTAATGTGTAAAACATTTGAAATTATTAAAAAAATATCTTAAAAAAATCAACCATAATTTCAAAAAAACAATATTAAAAAAAATTTGTTGTAAAATTTTTTAGTAAAACAAAAATATTAAAAAAAAACATTTCAAAATTCATCTACCGCGTTGGTGTTCTAAAAAAGCAACCATAATAGGACGTGGGATTGTACGTGAGAAAATCAATAGTTGGATAACTCTGCTCTTGTTGGGGGTGGAAATAACAACCATTTTAAAATTTATGTACCCCGTTGGTGTTCTACAAAAGCAACCATAATTTTAAAAGACATCCCCAAAAAATTTATTTTTGTAATAACATATCATAATATTTTAGTAAAACAAATATAATAAATAAATTAATAAGCATTTTAACATTCATCTACCTCGTTGGTGTTTTGCAAAATCAACCATAATTTGTAAAAAAAAAAATATTACAAATACTATTGTTGTAACATATTAAAATATTTCAGTAAACCAAAAAAAAAACCCAATTTGGCATTCATCTACCCCGTTGGTGTTCTACAAAATCAACCATAATTTTAAAATCCCGTTGGTGTTCTACAAAATCAACCAAAAACAATACAAAAAAAAAATATTTGTTGTAAAATATTAAAATATTTCAGAAAAAAAATTATTAAAAATAACCATTTTAAAATTTTAGTTGACTCAATTGATGTTCTACAAAATCAATCATAATTTAAAAAAAAAAATTTTGTTGTAAAATATTAAAATATTTCAGTAAAATAAAATTATTAAAAAAAAACCATTTTAAAATTCATATACCGTTGGTGTTCTACAAAATCAACCATAATTTTTAAAAAAATATAAAAAAAAATTTTTTGTTGTAAAATATTAAAATATTTCAGTAAAAAAAATTATTTAAAAAAAACATTTAAAAATTTTAGTTGACTTAATTGGTGTTCTACAAAAGCAACCATAATTTTTAAAAATATGTTAAAAAATAATAATTTTGTTGTAAAATATTAAAATATTTCAGTAAAACAAAATCATTAAAAAAAAAAAAACCATTTAAAAATTCATCTACCCGTTGGTGTTCTGCAAAATCAACCATAATTTTTTAAAAAGGGAGCTTTTTTGATAAATTCATTTTCTAAGAGTTTTATTCCATCCAACCCATATTCTAAATATTTCAGTAAAACAAAATTATTATAAGAAAAAAACCAGTTTGGCTAACAGTGTTTTTTCAATTAATTGTTATTTGAAAAGAAAAATCAGTTTGGTGATAACTGTTATTTTTTATTTGTTAATAATTAATTTTTTCAATTAAATTTAAGAACAGTTTGGTTAACTGTATTTTTTTTGTTAATAATTATTTTTTGAATTGAAATTTGAAAAGAGTTGGTTATGAAGAAAAAAAACAAAAATAAAATAAAAACAAACTAAAATAAATAGATAGGTGCGTCATTTAAAAATAAAAATAGACATCTATCGATTATACGAAAGAAAAATACAAAAACAAAATACAACGACAAATGGTGCTTACATCTATGAACCAAAAAATTAAGAAAGAAAGAAAAGGAAACAAACAAATAAGAACAGCAAGTACGAGTACATCTGCAACACAACTAAAAACCATAACATGCGTCAACCATTTAATCGCTCATCGAAACAAATTAAGCGTCATTGTCAGGTGGTAGTGGAGGTGGAAGGAAGTAGTGATGGTAGACCTGAGTCACTCGATGGTCAATCTGATCAATGTAGTTGCTTGTAACTTCATCACGTCTTTCAGTGTCAACACGAAACTCACCAAATTATTGAATTAGTGAGTTCTGAACGGCGGCAAACGCATCGAACCGATTACCCAATGCATTGAACTGATTCTCCATTTGCTATTTCCATTGTACATGTTGATTGTGTCGTTCTTGTTTCAGTGCCAAATAATCAATCTAATATTGGGGTTATTGATTTTGTGGCATGGCATTGTCATTGGGGTCTTCGGGATCATCAGTTATTGGTGCATTTGCAACATTAATAGATCCCAATAAATTGTCAGCGCCACCAGCTCGGGTCAGTGTATACTCTGAAATTGGTGAAGAGATTTTCATATCTACTTCATCTACAAGGTTGACATGATGAGTTTTGAAAATTTTGGTTAGTAGAGCTCCAAAAGATAGTGACCGGCCACTGAGAGTACCAAGACTTTTAATCACCATTTCCTTCAATAGTATGTTGCATAAATCTAATGTTTGTCCAACTTCAAAGCAATATAACAAATAAACATTATAAAATGGAACAACGTCAAAATGTCCTTTTTTGGGAGTGACATTTTCAACTATCCATCGATGAAAAATACGAAGGTGGAGTTTTAAATGTCGTGCTTGTAAATTTAGTGCCGGTAAATTGGTTCTCACAAATTGTAGTATAAACCTCATTTACATCACCAACCATATTAACTAGGTCAGCCTCACTTTGAAAATGACTTTTGCAAATCCCCTGACTGAACTCCAATAATTTGTGCTAAAGTGTGGGGGTTCAGTGTGATTAGTTTACTTTTCACGTAAGATGTCAAACTATTCTCTCCAATTGCTCCCTCAGTAGGTCATAAGTGAAGGTAAAATAAATGCACAAGACGTGGATATACCTTTTGTAGTAAATTCGTTAAAGGCAGCCATTCCATCGTCTCCAGTCTGCCAAGCAACATATGATCATATTGAGAAAGTAGATTTACCTTTCTCCCGATAACAATTGGTCGGTTGGCAAAATTTGGATAAGTTTGTTAATGATTATACGTAAGAAAATCAATAGTTGGATAAGTCTGCTCTTGTTGGCGTGGTGGAGGGTTAGAGGTTTGGCCACGTTCTGGCCTGGCTATTTTTATTCTCGACATGACTTATGGACGTAAGCAAAAGGATAGCAAAAGGTAACAAAAATGTATGAAAATGGCGTGCAAAAGGTAAGCAACAAATAGGCAAAGCTCAGCCTCGGGTTCAGACTTGCTGGAAGCTGGAACAGACGAGGCCGGATGACCCACCGATTGACCGCCAGGTCGACCTGTTTACTGCACTGTTCGGCTTATTTCTACAGCTCTAAAATTGTGAACAGATCTGAAGGAACCTTTGATCAAAGCTCTTGGTCTCTTGTTTTACACGGATATGAATTATAAAATTATAGACTGAATTTTTGAAATTTATTGATTGTGAAATTAATTGAGGTAGGTGGTAGAGGAGGTGGTTGTATGGTTCGGGTATTGACACTATTTTGATACTACTTGAATAATAAATGTCAATGAAAATGGGAGAGAGGTAGGTGAAAGTTGTAAAGTAACGAAGTTGTTGGAATGAAGATGGTGCTGCTGAAAGTTATGAAGCGAAATTGTTGGTTAGAAGAGTGATATAAAGAGCTTCGATCACACAAATGATAAAAAAACATACTATTGATTTTTATTTTATTTTATTTTTATATAAAAAAAAAAAAAACTTTGATCCAAAGTGACCAAGTATTTTGACTTTCTTTTTTTTTTTTTCCCTTCTTTTATCAAAGCTAACCAACTAAGGTTTTGCAGAGGGCTGATGGCTCTACAAAATATGAGTTAAATTACCATGATGTCCTTTTTATTTTTTTTCTAACATATGAATTTAATATTCATTGAAAGAGGGATAATGTGATAATTTCAATGTCAAACCAATCACACACTGACATTATTGATGGTATTTCCACATCACGAGTTTCTTTTTCACGGGTGTAATTGACAGTGAAATGAACAGGAGAGTACAATAATTACGGTGAAAATAATAGTATAAGTTTACGAATTTTTTATAAAAGTGATAAAATTTAACAAATGAAAAAATGTTTAGATAATGTTTGGTAAGTTTATATTTTCAGTTTTTATTTACAAAAATTTTATTAATTATTTCTTTTTATTTTAAAAAAAATAAAAATTACAAACGCATTTGGTTTGAACATAATATTTATTGTCTAAATTTAATACACATAAACAAAAAAAAATGTCCATTTAGGTCTAAATTATTTATATTTATTATTTTATGACAATGGGATCATACACATTATAATTGAAAAAAAAAATTACAAAAAAAATTGCGCAAAATTAATTTAAAAAAAAAATAATTGCAATAAAAATTATTTTAAAAAAAAATTATTTGGAAAAAAAATTAATTGAAAAAAAAATAATTTAAAAAAAATAATTATTTGAAAAACAAATTAATTGAAAATAAAAATTACTAACTCATTTTCTGAATTGAATTGTAAAAATAGTTTGGTTATGAATGTTGATAAAAAATTTCAATTAGGTTTTGAGTTGTGTGTGATCATAATTTATAACTTTTTGAATTAAGTTTTAAAAACTCAAAAAAAAAAAAAAACACATAACTAACAAATTTTCTTACTTCACATTTCATATCAAACTTTCAAAACTCAATTCAAAACCATAACCAAATAAATTTTCTACACTCAAATCATGATTCCAAAACTCACAAATTCAAAATATAATCCCTACTCTCAAATTATATTTAGAAAACTCTACCAAACGCTCTCAAATTATATTTAGAAAACTCTACCAAACACTACCTTAGATTCTTCATTTAGCCTCTCTTACTTTCATGCTCCCCTTTGGATATTTTGGAGAATTCCGTAGGGGTATGACAGGTTGCTAACTTGTTACACATGCATAGTGGGAAGTTGTTCAGAAACCTTTCTCCTCTGCACAAGAAACATAATGAACTTAGTAACAAATGCATAGAATTCATTTTTTCTTTCGGATACAACAGTATTTTCAATGTAAACACCAACTATAATTTCCATGAGTGCTCCTTGAATGTGTACGATAGACCCTTACTTGGAAGCATGAAAAGAAATGTGAGTGTGGGGGAGAAGAGGCAGGAGCAGAAGAAAGAGAGTCTGCCCCAACCTAGATTTATAAGTTTAGGAGCAGAAGTATGTATGTTGCATCAGTTTATGGCATAGAAGAAGTGTCCAATATATTCAGCTTTCAATAAAGTATCACACCATTTTTGCTAACAGCAACATGCACAGGGTTAACTAGCAATTGATACAGAAGAATCAAATTTGGTATCATCAGGTTCCTTCCACGTGTATTATAGAAAATATGAAATTTCAAATCTTCCCAATGCTGAAATTAATGCCTAGACATTTCCTCTATGCCATCCTGTTGTGTGTTTTTAGAAACAAATTTAGCCCAAGACTAACATAACCTTAAAGCCTACATTTAAAAGTTTAGCAAGGGACATGGCACAAATAAAATGAATCCATCATAAAGCATAATTATCAAAATGTTACAATTTGTGAATAGAATCTTACAATTCAGATGGTTTGAACACCATTTTCGATATGAATCACTCATTGAATCTCATATCATAGAGATGGCACATGAAACTATGTGAAATAAAATAATTTCATGATTACTATAGATCATACAACCAAATTATTAGTAAAGGATCGTACTTTTGAATTATTGTTTGATGTTTTAGCGTTGTTAGTTGAAATCCGAGATAAATCTTCATCATCATCAAGAATATCATCATCGATCCTGCGAACGACCTCTCTTGGTGCCTGAGAAAGAATTTTGACACCAAGAAAATCTCATGAGTACAAACTACCAGAAAATAGGGGCAGCAATATGGCAAAGTAGCAGTAGTTTGACAATATGATACTCACTCCAAATAATGATTTTATGAGTGCTTCATCCTCTTCTTCCAACTTCTTTTCCTATTGACAAAAAAAAAATCCTAGGACTTAGTAAGAACTGATGGTGATAAAATAGTATCCAAATTCACAGTTTTGACTTCCTATGCTGCCTTGACAAATTCACACTGTAGCTATGATGTGGTCAAATAGCTATACCTCTGGATGATTTGTTATGACATCAATTGGTCCAACAGTTTAAAGTATAGAAATACTGAAGCTCAAATTCCAGCAAAATTATAGTTTGCTTTTGAATTCGAGCCCCATCAAATTCTCGTCAAATCAATACAGCCAGTGCCTAGCCTTAACACTGAACAGATTTTAGGTAGGCATGCCAAACCAGCCATTTAACTAACTTATCTCAAAAGAAGAAAAAGAGACATTCAAAGACTTTAATACATATATATATATATATATATCGAGAACTTAGTACTTGTGTTAATTTTCAGTTCAATGAGTTAAGGAGGCAACCCGAATCAAAACCTATTATGTTCAAAAGTGAGTAGAAGATTACTTGAATGCAGCCCATCCAAAAAAAAGGTCAAACTACATGCTTGCTTCAGGCAGTTATGCAGGTACAAAATAGTATTGCTAGCTAACATAAATTCGATCCCACATTAGACATTGCTGCTACCATTCACATAAATCTAGTACATCACAAAAGTGACCAAAATGGCAATTGGGCTTCATTGTTCAAGGCCTACACAAAATGCATTTACACCCAAAAGGTTGAAATAATGAACTAGCATAAATGACCATACCTTTTCCTCAGCTGAGCGCTGCAAGACCTCCAACATTGCATCTACCCTGATAGTTGCTCGTCTTGACTGAAAAAGCAGAAAGAAGACTTGTTTTAGTATGCTTAAAATATAAATTCAAGTTCACATCTGAGTAAAATGAATAAAACAACAAACTTTCACACTTGGCTAATGATCCCATATGTCAGGCAAATTGACATTTTAACCCAAAATAAGTTAACCAACCTATGAAGTTAATAAGGCCATGAATTCAGTAGCTGAATCATTAAGTTACTCTCAATACATCTAGAATTCCAGCCTCGGCCCTGCCTAACTCTATTGGGTAGGAGTTGGGGTTAATCGGTGTTGGGGATTAATAAAACTAATCTGGTCAAGGTCGGAAATAGGGCATCCCCTCCCTAAACCCCCAGATTTTTATATATTGTTTATCAACATACCACCTTAATATATGTTTATTATGTTCACTACGTATTAGTTATTTGACTAAGCAAGTACCCTCATGGACTTCACTTCATCCAGGGCAGCAAGGATGTCCATCTCTCTTTTTGAATCCAATGTTCTATTCGCCAAGGATTTCATTGCATCTCCCATCTCTTCAGTATCCCTTTTTTGTTTTTCCTTATCTGCTTCCTGACAGAGAGAGCAATGTACAAATTATATAAGAAGCCAAAATCAAATCATGATTGCAACAAAATAAGGAGATCTAAAGATGAAATAGAAAGCTGTATATGGCATGCTAACTTAATACCTCATCCTTTGCACGCCAAGGTTCAAAATTCCGTGATGCACCCGACTCAACAACATAGTCTGAATTTTGCGGGTCGGTCTTTATTGTTAACTCAGCAGAGCACTTAGTGCATTTGAAATAAAACCTGAATATTTGGATCCCCAAGTATGTCTGCAAATAGTTTTAACATTTCAGTCAGTTCACTGAACAATAGTAATACGTATCTCATAATCAAAGTCTGAAAAGGATGTATTTTACCGATCACAAAAATAAGGATAAATAGAGTGAAGATAACAATATTATAACCATCTTTCAAACAGCATAATGTTGATATTTCATCCAATGTAACCTCATGCTTTTACGAAGAATATGTTCAGTCAGGACATCACTTCATTAGGTTAATCCCTATGTGAAAGTAGAAAAGATAAGATAGATCTAACAAGGGTATCCGTCTTTCAAACAACAGAATGTTGATATTTCATCCAATGTCACCTCATGCTTTTACATAGAATATGTTCAGTCAGGACATCACTTCATCAGGTTAATCCATATGTTAAAGTAGAAAAGATAAAGTAGATGGTAAAAATCTGGCATCTAGACCAGTAGTAGATTTGTAGTGACAGTACTGGGGGTACATTGAATCCACATAAAAATATGGTTGCTCTACTTAGAAAGTGTCTCTAGATTTATGATTAATAGTTGCCTTCTTACACAACTTGTGTTAATCCTCTAACCTCAATTGGAGACATCTACCATTCGTCACTAGTTAAGGAATAATAGGTGACCCACATAAACAGGGGAAGAATAATAACTTCTAATAAAGACGAAACAGAGGGAGATCCTGAATTTTTGTGCCAAAAATTTCAAGTTCCCCCCCCTTTTCTCCCTTCTAGAACAAAAATAATGACTTTCTAGTTCATATGTAAAAACAAGTTCAAAAACACAAGAAGTTATGCAGACATTTTGATCAGTTAGAAATCGTGGTAGTTATGCACGAAAACATTCTCTTTGGATAAAAACCAACAAAATAGTTTAAGGCCTAGATAATTAGTCCTTATCTAACATCAAATTAATAAAAAAAAAAAATCTAAGTGACTATAAACTAATTAAAATGGTTTTCCTTATCAGTAATAAGCAGATTGATTTTCGATGTCAAAAACCTCTATTTAAAAAACAAAAAATAATCATCACAGTACCAAGAGATACCGTTCCAAAAGGTTAACAATCAACCAAATGTTAAAACAAGTAACCTGTCCCATAAAAACTAGTTTTGTAAACATCATGATTTAACTTAAAAATTAGAAAGATCATAAAACACATCATATCCCACTATACATTACATATGAGGAGCCTATGAATAGAACGCTTGATATGCACAATCACCAGCATGGAACCAGGCCCTAAAACATGCATGAACTAATAGCTATTTTGTTTTTCTATTATACAGTATGTGCTCATACCACAAGGGCATAGTTTGATCAATGTGTCTAGGTTATTAAACACATACCACCAGTAAAAGCTGATGTACACATATCTTTTGGTTCTCTACAAGTCCCATGGATAAAGCCCGAGCTGTGAATAACATCCAAAAAGTACACTTTCCTTCACAAAAAACTGTTGCCTCAATTACATGCCAACAGTATTTGGGTTCTACTAGTATACCCAAAATTTCTAGCAATCAATCATTCTAAAACAAAGACATAAATTTAGCAGGACTAATAGTGAGGGGACTGATAATCCATGAGATTAGCGTAGGATTGGTTATCCAGCTCGGTTAGTGAGATATATAATTCCCTCTTGTCCACGTTTATTTTGCAATAGATATGGAAATATATAATCCCAATTATATATATGTTTTGCATTATTAGTTGTGGGATTAAAGAATCCATCAATTTTGTTGAATAAAATGGTCGTTGAAATCTAATCCGAATAAAATTTGCAACCAAACAATCCCAATCAGGGATGGAACTGTATAGGGACGGGCAGTGGCCACAATCCCTCCCAAGTTTTGGAATATCCAAATACTACCCTTATATTTCATGATGATTTATAATATATAATGAGATGATACCTATTTTATAAAATCACTCACCAATTTTTTATTTTATCAGTATTTTATAATATATAATGAGATGATTTTTAACAATTTTAAATTATAAAATGACTTGTTAGATTTATTTAATTTCATCCTTGTGAAATTCTGTTTTCACAATGTTTGTATAAAAAATTCTCAGATAGTGTAACCAAGGACTATGAAAGAGATTAACAATTAACAATTAACAATTACGAATAAATAGATACACACATATATGTATACCTCGCAGATGACTTCTTCCTTGCGGGAGTTGAACTTGGTACCTTTGTAGATGTAATTGCTGCAGGTGCCGCAGCGAATGCTTATGGGAAGCATCATCCGCACCTTCATCTGCTGGTTCTTCGGCTGCCTCCGCCTCGGAATCTTCCCCGGATTGAAGTCCGACGGGTAGTACTTGTTCAACACCTTCCTTTCTCCCATCTCTCCTTACCAAAGATCGATAAATTTGCTTCAAATTCAACTGTCACACACACAATGTTAAGTTATTGTTACTTGAAAATTGAGAGTTAATCTTTATTAATTCTTTATTTCTTCATTAAGAATGATTGATAAAAAAAAATATCTAAAAAATAAGAAGGTAAACGATCAACTCAGAGACGAAGAATCTCACACTGCACAGAGACGAAGAATCTCAAAAGAAACCATTGACGAAGATTCTCAGAGGCCGATTACTCGTAAACGATCAACTCAATATACAGAGAGAGGTATCTGCATATCTTTTAGAGAGAGAGAGAGAGATACCTCAGTGTAGATCGATTGCCGTTCACGGTAGATCGCTCGCCGTTTAGTGTATATCGTCGGTCGGAGGTTCAGTGCAGACCGTCGGACGATGGGTAGGGGGAAGAGAGAGAGAGTGTAGTCTCTGCGTGTGTGTTGTGCTTTTTTTTTTTGGTTGACTCTGCGAAGAAATTAGGGTAAACTGAAAGAAAAGGGCCAGAGTCGTAAAAAAAAAAGAAAAAAAAAAAAACCAAAAAGGGGAGAGAGAGTTAAGGGCGGGTTGGGTTTGTTGGGTATGATGGTGGATCACCCCCACCCGACCCGGGTGAGAAAATTTAGAAAATTGAAAAAATTTGAGCCCGCACCCCTCCGCCACGTGTCACACATCCATCCATTACTGGTCGGGCCGAGCGGTTATGGCTGGTCAGTAAATCCGCTGCACAGCCCTACTAAAGAGATAAAAGCTTTGTGAATTGAGAAATAAGAATACTTGAAATTAGGATTTGGTTTCAGCTTTTGTAAGTTTTACATAGCACAATCCTTGTTGGATTCTAAGGCCTTGTTTGTCATAACTTAAAAAAATAAAAAGTCACTATCCTATTTAAGTCACACCATCTTATTTAAGTCACATCACATCTCCACCACATTAGTTCAAACCCAAAGCATATTTCATAAAAAGTCAAAAAATACAATTATTTAGATCATCCCAAACCACCCATAACTCTTCTTTGTAGAAACCTGCTAGAAATCACATTCCAAAAAGATATTGCTTATCTTTTAACATTCTCCTCAGAAGCTAAGTGAGATATCACAACTCTTTGGATGGCTTCCCACCGAGCATCTAAACTACTTTACTTTGTCTGCAACTGACTTAGCCATGCAACATGCAGCACTATGTAGAGTTTGCACGACGCGCCACCATGTTGACATTGCGCGACTTTGTTCCTAGTTCGGTCAAAGTTTCACTCTCAATTTTCGTTTGACCGTCTTCCCTTGTATCTCGGTCAAAGCACTAGCCGCCTCTTTGACCAGACTGACCTCTGCTCAGCCTAAACCAAGCTTAGCTCGGCCCATCACACAGCCCAAACCTTAAAGCCACTTCCAGCTAGTTCGACCCAATTTGGTATACAAATTACTCTTTTAATAACTAAAGAAGAAAATTGATCATAACTATAAAAAAAAAAAAATGGCATAACTGATGGTGCATATGGCGCATTCCTTTTAAGGTGTGTAGGTTACAATTTCGTTTTTCAAAAACAATCTGTAGATGAGTTTTTCTTTATTTTGAGTAGAAAAAATTGGGGGATTGACCAATAATAAATCTTATATTTTGGATTTGTGGGTCATATAGTTTTTTTTTTTTTTTTTTTTAATCCTTTTGGATATGTAATTACTTATTTGCCCATCATATTAGAATGTTACATTTGAAAAAAGTATAAATGAAATTTTTTTAGTGTGTTACATCATACCCATCACATTGTATGTCATATCATATCTGCCACATTGGAGTTTCACATTTGGGAAAAGTATACGAAGGAGTTATTTGGTGTGTCACATCATATCCGCCACTAGGGTTGTGCGCGGTGTGATTCGGGTTGTTTGAGAGTCTAATTATAAAACAAATGGCGGTTTGGTAGATTGGCAGTTTGGCAAATTTTGGTTTGGGCGGTTTGAAGCAGACCAGAGAATTGAAAAATATTCTTAAGCAATTATCAAGCATTTACATAATATATAACGCTAATTTGCATAATATTTTTCATATATAACACAAACTAATTTTACATTATATTTTTCATACATATAACTACTAATTTGTAACAAATTTCACATCTTAAATCTCTCACTCATTTTTATTTTGATATTTCATTAGAGGTTAAAAAATATATATGTATTAAGTTTAGTAGAGCGAAGCGGTTTCGAAAGCGGATTATAAATTTTAAAATTCAAACTGCAGCTAGCGGATAGAGCGGTGCAGATCGGTGCAGTTTTGTTGGCTTTTTGGCTTTCGAAGGTTACTTTTGTAATTATGAGCGTGCCAGCAAGGATCAATCAGTCCTTACAGAATTGTAATTGCCAACCAATTATTCAAACGATTGTGTTATGGTTCTTTCAGCCTCAATAAAGAGGACTTTTACTGGTGGCTTACTGGTAATTTGACTTCAGAGAACTTGAACATAAGAACAGTTAAATAAACTGAAGTATTTCATTAGTATGAGAAACTTACAATGATCTTAGTTCCGTAGAGAATTACAGCAGCAATAAACTTGAAAACTACTCCTACAAATGAAGTGCAGCGCAGGAACTTAAAGTACAGAAATATAAAGGACAGGAAATAACACTGGAATATGTAAAGTAATTCTACAGATCTTTTCTTCGTCCCTTCTTTGAAGTCCTTCCTACTATTTATACTTTCCGAAGATAACCGTCGAATTGTACTTCAAACCGTCGAACTGCTCCTCCATAATCGCTGATCATGCTACCTTATAAGTAGTTCCACTACGCCTTCACTTGCAGTTAGGCTTCCCCCCTATATTTGAATTTGAATGTGAGCAACCGTTGAAGCCACGTCATCGTATGTCTCTTTGTTGATCCGCTACTACTCAGATCTTATAACAACCAATAGTGACTGCCACGTGTATGATCAGGATCGAAGACCTACCTGGTCTTCCTATATTACCCTTACTTTGCCACGCGTCGAATTGTCACTGGCTAGCACAAAATGTGTAGCAAACATTACCCCCCGCACTAATATACCCAAGACTTGGTGATATTAGTGGATCAGAGCCCCTTTTCCCACGTCTTAGAACGTGCATGGGTTTTACATCTTCCCAGAAATGCAACTGTCACACACCATCTGTATTAATACTCTCGTCTTGATCCTTTAAGTACTTCCACTGTCTTATTATTCGAACAGACTGATACATTTTATGGCCAAATTAATTCTTTCCTCCAGTGATGAAGCATACGAAGAGTCACATATTGATGCTATTTCTCATCGAAAGCATGCATTTATTAGCCACCTTTACCCACCTTTCTATATTCAGGTCATGGATGCCTTTGCAAATTACCGACCTTTGGATTACGAACACATTACTCTTAGTCCTTCAATTCAGAAGGCTATAGACATAAGAATTTTCCCTTCTGACCTGTCTTTATCGTTCGAACAACCTGCTCTCAAACCTTTGATTCAGAAATTTGCAAATATGGATTTGAGCAACTCTTCTTCGCAAATTTCTATATGGGATAAAGCTGCAACTTCTTCCTCTTCTGGGGGTTTTGACTGGACAAGCTGGTCAGTACCTGAGACTTATGATTTGAAGGAGCGAATCAACCATCATTTTGTTGAGTTCACTGACCCTTTAGAGTTTCCTTCCTATGCTCGAAGTTCAGTTGTTTATCCCTATGTGCCCATTGACCATCGGCATAGTCTGGAGGAGAATCTTCTTGTAGCATGGTATACATCTTCCATGCCTACAAAGATAGTGCACGTTGCCCCTCACCCAGAAGAAGCACAAGGGTATAACCCATCATTCTTAGCCCAGAAGGCGAAGATCTGTTCTTCTGACTGGCTTGATTATATTAATGCCTTTGTTCCTTCTGCTCCCGTATCATCCTCGGAAACAGAAGCGTCCACACCTTCTTCTTCGTCTCCCGAAATTGAAGTATGCATATCTTCTCCGCCACCAATTCTTTCCTGGACAGAGAAACTGAAGATTGCCTTATCCATGGAGAATGTCTTTCCACCTTATAAACCTCCACCTCCTCCTACCCCAGCTGAGCGGAAACAGGCTCAACTTCTGCTTGCAGCCTTCTCTCACTTGCCTTTTAATGTACTCGAGGACGAAGTCCCTCTCACAAACCTTCGATGGGCTTGTGACATTCTGACTAGGGGTCATGTCCTTAATCCCCTTGCTCAGGCAGAACTTCATATGTTCTTGGACCAACTTCCATTGCTCCTTTGCTGGCATCGAAAATCTGTGGCTACTACACAATCTTTAGACCAACTTTCGTCCCTTCGAATTCATGCTCAGTACGAAGCAAAGAACTTTATTGAAGAATTCAATGATTTCAAGAATAAAGATTCTGCGTATTGGGATGATTTAGATATTGACGAATTGGAACATCTTTAAGAGAGGTGGCTTTCGAGATAAAGGCTGAAGAGCTCTACTATGAAGTGAGAGCACTTCAACTTATGCAGCCAATGCTAGAAGATTTAGAAGATAGAATAAGGAAAGAACAAAAGTTCATTGATCATTGTTGGACTAAATTTCATGATCTTGCTATTTATTCCATTCCTTATTTTTATGAGCTCGAGTTCATACCGAGATAGGGTTAGCTGATGTAATCGCTCTGCTCTTAATATAAACAAAATTCTTTTTCATTTGTCTTTGTTTGACCCTGTCTTCTTGTGTTTTCACTTGTGTTTAAAAGTCAACTCAGAGCTTCGAACTTCGAACAATTTCATCCCTTGAATCTGGACTTAATTGTTTTTAAATGAAACACTAAATGAGCCAATTGTAAACCTTTCCAATTTGTGAATAAAGTTTTGGCTGACTTTCAATTGGAAACAGTGCTTCGAATCTAACAATCTTCCGCTTAAAGCCTGTTTTGATCATAGTCAACATCTAGTCATTGTCATTATTGATTTTGATATTTCAAACACCAAATCCCATACTTAAAGAATCTCAAGTTTTGCTTCGAAGGACATTACCATTGTTAAAAACCTAAAAATAGGTCTTTAAACTCTTTTAAGTGAAATAAATACTGGAGTATTTTATGTTTTCGGTATGGCAACCTACTTCGAAGCTGGCTTCTCTGTTTCGAAGCCGTTTAACTCGGCTTCGAAGCAAAATTTCTTATTTCGAAGCTAGTCTTAACAACTGGGCTTTGTTTTTCCCTGCAAAAGCATCAATATTGAAGGAAGCTTTTGTATTCGTACTTTTAATACTTAATAGCTCATGTAATATATTTTTAAATGCGAGAGCTTTTAAAACCCTTTTGTTTCGCATTCTGAAATCACTTGCTCTTCTAATCGCACAAACCCCTCTTATTACCGATCGTCGGCTTCTCTCTACTTCCTTTCCCGAAGAAAAGCATACCGTCAATGGCTTCTCCTTTAGTATCAGTCGTAGAGCATATGAGCCCATCTGTGGCCCTGAAGAGGATTAT